TAGATAGATGCTTCTCTACATGCCTCTGAAATGTAACAGAATATGAAGCATCCAAATGTCTAGAAAAGATGAGCTAATTGGCCACAATATGGAAGATATTCTGATTTGGAAAATTTTAAAGTTTATTTAAAATTTTATATAATAAAATAATTTAAAACACGTGTTTAAAAGTTTCATAGAGTATCAGTTGTTACGAAGTCTGTCATTTGTAACATGTCCTTTTCACATGTTAATGTACTCAGTGAAAGGATTTTAATGTCTATATAGAAATACTCTTTAATACATATTAATTAGTAATTTTACTTTATTAATACTTTCTGCATTAATTGTCCTACTTGGCAGGGAAGGCTAAAGTAAATAAATGGAAACTGAAATGTTTTGTGTATTTACTATGATTCAAGAAGGTATTAAAAATAGTAATTAACCTTTAGATGTATGTGTCTAGAATTAAAGTATGATGTGTCTTACAGGGTATGACTGCTGATTCAGCTCCAGGCTGCTGTTTTGCATCTGAGCAATTCTTGTTACCTAGAAGCAAATTAATAGACTTTCTGTGATGACACTTATTTGAAATGTAGTGATTTGTTTATTTAACATATGCCTTCTATTATAATTAGTTACTCTTGGTCCATGAAAAGAGCTTTATTTTATCTGGGAGAGGAAAAATACATTGAAATATATTATTTAAAAAATCAATGCACTAAAATTGTTTACTTTATGCAGTATGAATTACTAATTTGTGTGCTTAAAAAATATAGCATTTGATTAAATAATGGGAATAGTATTATAATCACAATACATGATTATGAAGTTAAATGATATAATTTTTGTACATATCATACATACATACATAAGTGATATATATGATATGTATTTCATATAAACACATAACAAATTATGTGAATTTTAATTGTAGTTCTAAAAATTTGAATATACTATAATACAGGAAATGTAATAAATAAATTGGAAAGTATTTATATTAATTGCTTTTCAGTTGCTGTAATAAAACACCGTGGTCAAGACAATTTGTAGAAGAAAGGTTGTTTGGGCTTATGGTTCTAGAGGAATAAGAGTTCATCATGGCAGGGAGGCACAGCAGGAAGCCAAAGCAGAGAGCTGAGCTCACACCTTCCAGCCTTCCAGCAAGTGCATGAAGCAGAGGGTAGACCAGATGTAGGGCAAGTGTATCTACTCTCATAGCCCACCCCTGGTGACACATTCCTTTCTCTGGCAAGGCCACACTTCCTGATTTCATGACCTCCCAAAGAGCTCCACCAACTGGGGATGAAGTGATTAAATACTTGAGCCTATGTGGGACATTTCTCATTCAAACCACCACAGTATGATAGATGGCATTTGGTGCTGCAACAAGAATATGCAAGGAAGAGAAGTATTTGAAGGAAAGAAAGAGACTAGGTAAAGAAAGAGACATGGAAAGAGAGAAAGAAAAAGGACAGAAAAGTCTTCGGGAATTAGTTATTTGAGAAAATTCAATATCAAATAGGGGTAGACATCACTGAGAAGTGAGTTTTGAGCAAAGACCTAAAGGTAAACAGGTGTGTAGAATGAGTGTTACACCGAAAACTTATAGAAGAAATTGTTAGTATTGAAATTTAGAGTACCTCAAATTACAAATGCAAAATATGCACACACAACTCTAGACATAAATTTTTCCCAAAATCAGGGCTAGGGATGTAGCTGAGTGGCAGAGCATTTGACTAACATCTGTCAGGCATGGATTCAATCCCTACCACTGCCAAGAAAACAAAATCTTCTATAAGCTTATGATAACAAATATCATACCATGTGATTATATTTTCCAAAGCAAAATCAAGGCAGATGATAAATCCTAGCACTATTTTAGTTCAAATTGTGTTTGATATTTGTAAAGATTGTGCTCTACAGGAAGTACCATGATCATGTTCAATAGAAACATACCTCATATTTCAACATTAAGCATCAGCTTATGGATATTATCATCAGAGTAAATGGAAACAGAGCTGAGTAAAAATATGACACCAAGTGACTGGCGAGATGGCTCAGCAGTTGAGTGGACTGGCTGCCCTTGCAGAGGACCTGGATTCAATTCCCAGCACCCACATGGCATCTAACAACCATCTGTAACTCCATTTTCAGGAGTTCTGATGCCCTTTTCTGACCTTTGCAGTCATTGCCTGACACAGGTGCACTTACACACATGCAGGCAATACACCTATATGCATAAAATTAAAATAAATAAAATATTTTAAAAATATGACATCATAAATACTCAGCAGAATTTTTAAAATATTTTTTTACAAATTTCATATGATATATTTAGATTCTGTCTCCTAGCTGCACCCCTTACTACCCTCCACCCAATTTAATGTAATCTAACATACATATATGCCTAAAGAGTCAAATTTGTGTCTCCAATGCACATTGGTGTGACTCTATCCACTGGAGCTTGGGCAAGCTACAAAAGGTCTCACTGTTAAATGAAACTGACTGTCCCCTTCCCAGCAGCCATAGGTAGCCAATTCTCTCTCACTTAGCGTTGGGGCTTCTTACCTACTTCCCTAGGACTATGCTGGGACTTTGTCTGGCTTCGATTATGTGGGAATTGTCCATGCTGTCAATATTGCTGTGAGTTCATTTGATTAACTGACCAGTTGTCTGGAAAACTCTGTATATTTGTGGTCATCCACCATCATTGGCTCTTACAATCTTTCCACACTGTCTTCTGCAACGATCCTCGAGCCTTGTGATTCAGAAGTTTGATACATGTGTCCTATTCAGGGATAAACAATCTGCAGCCTCTTATTCTCTGAAAGTTGGCCAGTTGTGGTTCTCTGTGTCAATTATCATTTTAGCAGCAGAATTTAAGAATCTTTGAAATTTTATAATAGGTACTAACAACAATTCTTCATTCTTTGAATTTCCATATGCTCTAATTTAAGGTGCATTAATAACTGTCTATGTATTCTTTTCCTTGATAGCTTCCTAAATCATTTCATGCCTCTAATAAGTGTGCTATCACTCAGCAATTCAGCAGGTACTTTCTTTAGGGTGATAATTTCTTACATCTTACCATATAAAGAGGATTCTTCTTGTTGTATGCTAAGTGCCAAATATTGCCCTTATGAATGAATATAAAACCTTTGATGACATTGTAAATTTCAATAATTCACTACTTGGTTGGGAAGGCATAAGCTAACACAGAAAACAGAAATGACATGCAATAACAGTACGTAACATTTTACTTGTATCTACCTCTATTTGTCCTCAATCCTATTAGATGGGTAGTTACCTTGGCTCTATCTTTGAAATGATAATATGAGATACAGAGTGGATAGATAAATTGTTTGTATCACATGGTGGAGATTAAACATGAGCTTAGGCTTCAAACCACCTGGGATGTATCTTATTCAGAAGCAAGGGTAATACAATAATTCATCTTGGAGATATGTCTAGAAAGGTTTCAAAGAAAACATTTGCTAAGCAGAGAAGAAAGGGAGCATTTTTAAGATGAAGAAATGCCTTGTGCAAAAGGTAAAAAATCTACAGCAGCATTGTAGCTATGTGGAAGGAGTTGCTAGGGGAGCTCCTGCGTTGAGAGACATGAAGAACACACGGCATGTTGAGAAGCTCTGGGAGTGGTAAGAGATTCCTGTACAGAGAGATGGTCATTAATTTGTGAAGGATTGCCAACACTAATCAGAGGCACCAACTTCTGTTTCCAAACCATCTCTTCAGAGCATCATGGAGGATTAGTTGGAAGGAAGAGACAAGATAAGAAAACTTTTTTGAAGCTGTATAATAATTTATAGATAAGTTTCTGAACAAAACTAGCATCCAGAGGGGAGGTAATGAAATTTTGAAAAAAACTGATATTTTTGATTTTCTCAAATATCAGAAGTGATGGGGGAAGATGCAATAGAAGAGATTCACCTCAAATTTCTAGCTGAGCTCTTGGCTAGATGATACTTTCATTAATAGAGATGAAAAGGAATTCAGTCCACGGTGGAAGTGGGGACGAATTGCCTGCTGCTGTGTGTACCTTTGTATTTCTAAAGAATGTCTTTAGAAAGCTACAAATGCATGTGGCAGCTCCATACAGAATTCGGTTTGAATCAAAGTGTCATTGGCCTGTAGGTAGTAAAGGACTAGGGGGTTGTATTTCTTATCAGGGAATGAGACAGTAGCCAAAGGATGTTAACCCAACAAAATTTTGGATGACTAATACTTAATTGGCAGAGTCTTGATAAAGTAGCAATAAAAGCAGTTTAGTTCAAATGGTAAATAAGCTAAACAGGATCAAGGTGGAAGTGTAAATACAGAAGCCATGAAGTGATATGCTCCATGTACTACTCTGTTGAGTTCATACATCAAAGTGCTTTGAAAGTATTTCTTTGTAATAAGTGAAATAAACAGAGTATCTTGTTTTTCATTACTACAAACTTCATGGCCCATTTATACACAGCTGTTAAAGTATACACTGATGTGATATTGTCAGATTAGACTGATGAATAAGAAAAGACTCATGACAATTTTTATTATGATTTCCTCCATTACTTCCTACCTCCCTTCTTTTCTTCCATCCTTCCCTTTCATTCTTAATGCAGATCAAGTAAAAATCTGATCCATATTTCTCCTGAGTACTAAAAGCCTTCAATATATGAAGACACTTTTTGCCCTTTGTACATTGTGTGAACCACCTCAATAACGATTTCATCTTTCCCAAGCTACTGAATGGGTTATTCAATACTTAATGTTTTCTTATTAACATAGACGATCTTCTAAGTTGTTATACCTACTTGTTGAAATAAGAGCGTAACATTTATGAAAGTTTTGTAAAATAATTTTCATCAATTGATTTCAGACTTCATTAAATCTTTTCTGAATTAACCAATAGTAGATGGAGTAAATTGTTGCTCCAAAACTCACATTTGTCAGTTGTTGCAAATATAGCTTCAGTTGGTGGATGACTCTGACTGAGGCCGCATCTCTGTCTTCTACAGTAACAAGGACTGTGTGTGCAGAGCAGTGTGATGGCAGGTGCTATGGACCCTACGTCAGTGACTGTTGCCATCGAGAATGTGCTGGAGGCTGCTCAGGACCCAAGGACACTGACTGCTTTGTACGTCTAGGTCTTCGTTCTTTCCTATACCTGAATCTGAGGGACAATAAATATTTAACATTAGGTTATGGTAAGATTTAGTCACTTTAGAACTTCAAAAGCTGCACCTTCCTAAAAGGCCTTCTATCACTGAGATGGCTATTGATTAAACAGAATTATGTTGTTCTACTTCAATGGATTGCATTTTTCTGATATAATTTATGTTAAAAATAAGATGTATTGGAGAACATGAGTGAACACATGTTGAGATATATCTTCCAAAAATTCAAAGCATCCTTTTCAAATAATCAGGGCTTATCATTTTATGTTGCTGTTTCACTGAGTCATGAGTGAGGGGAATTTGTTTCCTAATACAAATTACATGGTTATAGCTGAAGAATTTACAAACTGTTAAAAGTTTTGTAAAATAATTTTCATCAATTGATTTCAGACTTCATTAAATCTTTGCTGAATTAACCAATAGTAGATGGAGTAAACTGTTGCTCCAAAACTCACATTTGTCAGTTGTTGCAAATATAGCTAAATAAATTATTGAAAATGACAACCATTTATTTTGTTTTTTTTCCATTTCTTAAAAATGCACCAAACACATATCATTAGAATTAAATTTTTTTTCAATGAAATTTTTAACTGAATTTTTGTGGATTTCATACAATACAGCTTCATTATGTTTAGAAATCCTTTCCTATCTATTCCCCATAGTCTTCCCAGAATATAGAATTAAATTTTTTAAACTGATATTTCATCCAATAAGTAAAATAAAAATTAAAGGTCATATGCCATAACTAGTTATTTCTTAAATTTGAACATCATAAGAAACTTAATTTGTTTACTATAAATCTATAGTGAACCAAAAATAAGAATTGGGGAAGTGGATGAAGTAGACGAAGATGGGGTTAAGATCTGAAAAATCCAAGGTAGAAACTCAACAGCTCTTGAACTGAGAACACTTGGCTTATCTGTCATCAGTGTAGACAGGAGACACAAGCTTGAGTTTAAAGAAACTGCAGATTGCAGGTGTTGCATTAACAATTCCAAAACAAGAGCATCAGTGACAAACAGTGGCAAAAACTCACCCTTCAAAGTGTGCTGCCTCGTTCTCCTGGCTGCATTATCAAGACAAGCAGTGCCAGGTGCTCTTCAGAACTCTCCTTTCATTACTTTTATGGAATGGTCCAGTGATTCCACTTTGGCATTTAATACTGAATGTTCATGAAGGCCGAACTGAGGCCTTGGTATAAGTTATGTTGTCCCTGTGTGCTGTCTGAAAGGTAAATTTGCTTTATTACTCTGGCTTATATCCCTTTGCTCCAAAGCTATGTACAACATTGCATTTCAATGCTGAAAGTGTGTGGTAATGCAATTGTAAGAACACATGAAGTTTCATAGTCATAAATTAAAACTTACTGAGATTTCTAGATTGGTTTTTAATAGAGTCTTCCTACAAAGTGTCATCGCAGTGACTAACGTGTCATCAGTGAGCTTGATTCCGATTATGCATCAACTAGGCCATCATTGCTAAAAAACAATTGATGAAGCAAACGTTTTGAGGAAACAGAATAAATTATTGTTTATTAATAAGCATATGACATTCTAATGAAATTTAAAACAGAGCTTCACTTTAAATTAGCTTGCTAGCTGAGGCCTAAACTATTCCTAGGAAATTTAATTTCTTAATTAAAGTGTCTCACACTTTTGTTAGTAACATGTTTATGCTTAGGTTGTGAGTCTGAGTCTTTAATAGTTAAGCCATCCCTCCAGCCCAGTCACATGTTTATGTATACTTACACATGTGCTTTCTTTTGGTATTTGAAAACCTAACTCTTAGGAGCTAAAATGACTTCTAATTCTTCTTAAGTGAAATTGAAAGTATTAATTAATTGAGCTGTGAAGACAAATGTATGTTAGCAAAAATCAGCTGCCTTTTTGAAAATGGTAGCTACAGTTGTGAACGGAGCCATGCATAAAATGGCGTTGTATTTTTATGATTACTACTACTACTCCAATTATAAATTTATTTTGTGTTTATTTTAAAAGTATGAGTATTTTGCCAGAATACATATAAGCACAATGCCCACGGAGGGCAAAAGCAAGTGTTAGATTTCCTGGAACTGGAGTCACAGACCATTTGTGGTTGTCATGTGGGTACTGGGAACCAAGCCCTGGTCCTGTGCAAGAACAGCCAATGTTCTCAACCACAGCCATTTCTCCAACCCCTGCCATTATATTATTTAAATAAATATTAACTAGAGCTATTTCCTCTTTGCATTTACCTCATATTTATTGCACTTGGTGAGTCACCTGGCCCAGTTTTCCTTAAGTCAAGTGGAATGACCATTATGTTTCCTTCTATAGAAAGATGATACTTGCACTTAACATGCCACTGAAGGCATTAAACTCTCCAGTCAATCTCTCCAAACAAATCCCTGCCTTAAACTGACTATTAATATTAAACATAAATTGGTTGAATCAATGTGAATTAAATTATTTGCTACCGTGTAGATTCAATATTTTACATTAATTCTTAGTTAGAAATGAATCGATTGATACCACTCAATGTGAACACCAGTAATTACATATGATATATTTACTGACAGGAAGGGAGAAAGGTTGTTGAAGAGGCTAGTGAGATTGTTAAGACCATTTGCTGCTTTGAAGAGGACCCAGGTTCACTTCCCAACACCCACATGGTGGCTCACAACCTGCTGTAATTCCAGTTCTAGGAGATCTGGCTTCTAGTACCTATGGGTACCAGGCACACACATGCTGTCTGTATATATCTCATGGTACAGACACACACACACACACACATACACACATATATGTATATATGTAGATGTAGATGTAAATACACACATATATATGTATATATGTATATGTGTGTGTATATATCAGGAAAAATACTCATAAATATTAAAATATTTTTTTTAATTTTGGTGAAAATTGTAAAGCACAGTGACTTCAAAATGATCATTTTTTTAACATTTATAAAATTGAAATATAATAAAGTATACCACCTTCAAAAATCATTGTAGGAGCGTTTTATTAATAAGCACATGTGAAAGTTACTTGTAAATGAAAGTACTATCTCCTGTGTTACAGGCCTGCATGAATTTCAATGACAGTGGAGCATGTGTTACTCAGTGTCCTCAGACCTTTGTCTACAATCCAACCACATTTCAACTGGAGCACAACTTCAATGCCAAGTACACATATGGAGCCTTCTGTGTCAAGAAATGCCCACGTAAGTGACACACTAAGAACTGTCAAATAAGTAAATCTAAGTTCATCTTCATTTCAAACTTTAACGATAAAATGATAAATTATTTTATATTGGATATGGGTCCTACCATTCATATTTCACAATAAAAGTAAAGCCTGAAATGTTTAAGTAATGGTTGAAGCCCATAGAAAAGGAGTGGCATGTTGGATACTAGAGTGAGGAGTTGCTCTTTTCACTCTTCCTTGGGAGTCCAACACAGGATATTGTTTCTCACAGCTCATTAAGTGGCAACAAGCTGTATTATTAACAGGGTGTGATGTGATTCTAATATGAATGAGTTTACACCTATATTTATTATTATTTACTTATACTAAATATATGTCATAATAATTTAGTAGAAGTGAAAGTTGTTAAGTAATATTTAGGAATCCAATTACAAATCCTAAGAATTCAATAAGACCAGCAGAACTTTGATCAGCTATTAAATAGAATATATGTGTGAATAGTATTTGCTTTGAGATTTTAGCTATTTGAAACACTAATCTATTTATTTATGAAAAGTGTTAAAAAGGAAATCACTACATTTACTTACATATTCATAAAAATGGAAGCTTTAAAATACATAGAAAATGGTCAATTAAAACTTTCTTCTTTTATTAACTTTTTTCCAGTGGTAAAACAATCTTTTATTAAAATCACATAACTGAGCAGGTTGGTGGTGTTTATCTTTAATCCCAGCATTCAGAAGGCAGAGGCAAGCAGATTTCTTTGAGTTTGAGGCAAGCTTGGATCAAATATCAAGTTCTAGGCCAGGATTACAAAGGCTACAGTGAGACCTTGTCTGAAAAAATGTAGATAGTATTCACTTCATGCTTATTCTGTACGCACTTCATGTTACAGAGGCTTCTACATAGAGCACTCAGGTGAAAAAATAACTAACAGTGCATTATAAGAGAAAACGTATCAGAAGATGATCCAAGGACATGGGCCAAGAATAGGGTCAGATGTAAGTTCTAGGAATCATGAGAACATTCCCAAGGACGGGTGTTAATATTGTTTTACATACACAACACATTTTATGTGATGACATCATAGAATACATGTGATTCTGTAATTTGGCTTCTGCCTCATCAGCATGTCTTGGAAGTCTTCCCACTTAGAAGTGAATAGAAGTTCAGTGTCATTCTAAAGTTGCACTTCGCTTCCTGTCAGTCATGTATTGTAGCCTGTTTACGTGGGCTCCTGTGTTGGTTTACAGTTCAGTCATTCCTAATAAGTAATTGGATTCTATAAGGTTTAGAATATCCAAAGGGTATAGAAAACTTCAGCTGTATCTGTTACATTTAACATTTTTTTAATAAAGATGTGTTACTGTATTCCCGTATAATTAAACATTTTAGTTATGCTTGGTTTGGGGCAAGCATTTAATATTTGTCCCTTTCCTATCCCTTACGGCATTGTTAGTAAACATCCACCCTACCTTTAATGTATACAGCCTTTCCATTGGGGGTGGAACTATCTTAAACCCATAGAACTTTCTTCTTTTAGACTAATGTCGAACACTAGTATTTTCTACTATAATGTCAAAATCATCAATAGCCCTTGTTCATAAGAGTTGATTTGTTGAACTATTCTCGTTGGAAACAAGGTTATTTAGCTTCTAAACATAGCTCTCCATATCCCATTTAGCATTCTGAAATACACAACCTCCTAGTTGAAGAAAAGAAGGATCAGACTTCCATGCACTTTATGAATTGTGTGTGTGTGCGTGCGTGTGTGTGTGTGTGTGTGTGTGTGTGTGTGTGTGTGTTGGGTAGTCTCCGGCGGGTAACTTGAAATTTAAAATATTTGCGTGCGTGCGTGCGTGTGTGTGTGTGTGTGTGTGTGTGTGTGTGTTGGGTAGTCTCTGGCGGGTAACTTGAAATTTAAAATACTTTATGCTTTGTGCCTACTCCCATGGAAACATGCACACTCCTTTTACAACTTTTGTGCTACTGTGAACAAATACCTGATCGAAACAAATGCACTTATTTAAATGTGTGTGTGTGTGTGTGTGTGTGTGTGTGTGTGTGAGAGAGAGAGAGAGAGAGAGAGAGAGAGAGAGAGAGAGAGAGAGAGAGAGAGATTGGGAGCTTTCTCTAATACTCCACTGAAACACTGGAAGCGTCTACAACATTTCCTCCTGGATATGAAGTGCATTCTCTTGATCCAAGGCAGTTTAACTTAAGCTTCATTTGTGCTTCATGAACTTGAAGTATTTTCAGACTTCCAACTTGCATCATGACATGAAATGAAGTGGAACAATTGAGAAACACAACTAAATGCCATGTAGTTTCCTAAGTCTATAAAGAAATCTGCTGTGTCTTGGGGGCAATTCGTGATGAGGAGTGGTAGCCAAGCAAGTAGGAGTTGATGGCACCCACTGCTCTCAGATTGGAATGTGGGCTGTGCAGAAACTATTTCAGGTTTAGGTATTTAGGCAAAGAATTGTTTTAGGGGAAGAAACATAGACTATCGATGTTGCTAACTATTTGCAAACCTAAACTATCTTCTTTTAAGTCTGTTGGTTGAGCATTAACATTATGCCTTATTTTCCATTTTAATTAGATAACTTTGTGGTAGATTCCAGTTCTTGTGTTCGTGCTTGTCCTAGTTCCAAGATGGAAGTAGAAGAAAATGGGATTAAAATGTGTAAACCGTGCACTGATATTTGCCCAAAAGGTGAGTGATACTACAGGGCTATGGGCTAGGACAGAGGCATTTACCAAGATTTTTCATGAACTTTTTAATAGACCAATGAAGTTAGCTTCTCAGAATAAACCCCTCCCACAATGGGCCACCCTCCTTCCCGTGATATTGATAGTTCTACAAAATACTAACAGTGTACATTATTGATTTTGAATTATGTTAACAAATGAATCCATATAAAATGGAAAGACTCAGACAAAGGGACATTTAATTTCTTTGCCTTTTTAAAAAATTCAGTTCTAGAAATTGAACCCAGGACTTCATGCATGCACCATAAGTGTTGAATAAATGTTGCAGATAATTCATGCTATAGAATTTTAGTGGAGGAAGAAATCCTTTCTTGGCCTGTATTTTCAAACTCCTAAGCAGAATGAAGCTTAAATTAAGCTTGGCAAAACTATAGTTCAAATCTCTCAAATGTGAAGCTTTTAAAGTACTAAGGCCTGTAGAAGGCAAAGGTAATATACTGGGCTTAAGTATAAATATTTTAATGGCCCTGATAGGAGTTTGTATCTTAATTCTTTAGGTAACATTTATTCTTTAATAGATCAGTGTTTTTCAAATTGTAGGCTGTAGACCATTAGTAGATAAGGAAATCGTTTTACCAAAGTGACCAACATTTAAAATGTACTAAAAGTCATATTTTAAAGCAGACTTGATAATAGGGGATTTCATCTAGTAATTTAGAGTATCAATTAAGTTTTTATTTGTTCTAAGTGGTGTGAATGTGTTGGCTCTTAATTTTAGACATAGTTCTTACAATGAAGTTTAAACATAGTTCATGATTATTAGGCTGTGGTATAGAGACAATTTCACTTCAGGCTCAGTAGTAAATGCAGAATAAAACCCTCTCCTCCTAAGGCTTAGGGGTCTTTGTGGAAGAGGGGATAGAAAGATTGTAAGAGGCAGAGGTGATCGATAAATACAAGGAAACTGTGTTGACTGGACACCATAGTGTAGTAGCATCTATGGACCCATAGCACTTACCGCACATGCACAAGACCTGTGAAAGCCCAAGCTAGACAGAGGCCCAGCATAGACTGCAAGAGGTAGATGGGAAGCCTCAACCCTAGCTGAAGATCTGTTGGTAACTGATAGATGCTGGGAGAGGGATAATCAATTTCACTTACTGTTGTGTTGCCTGGTAGGTGGACCAGACTCTAGGGGGCAGAACTATACCCCAAAACACTTGGGGAACAGATTAGACTCGATAGTCCTCATAAAACAAAAACCAAATAATTACAGAGGACATGAATTTGGTGGCTGGTAAGGTAGAGGTGGAGAGGGGTTTAGAATATGATCAAAATACATTGTATGAAATTCTTGAATCAATAAAAATATTAACAAATAAAAAAGTGATGACCTAATGAACTGAATGGACAACTCTGAAAAGGTGTACAGATGGTCAGTAAATACTTGAAAAAGTGTGTAGCATTCTTAGACATCAGAGAGGTGTATGTTAACAGTTCCCAAGGTTCTGTCTCACACAAAATAGGAAGGCTGTTGTCAAACAAAGGAGTGTGAGAGATCGGAAGCGTGTCACCTGCTGCTAAGAATGCAATCAGGTGTAGACATTGTAAGATTCAGTTGGAATGTTGGTTTCTCAAGACTAAAATGGGGCTACCATATGACCCACCCACTCAAAACTTCTGTATAGAGCCAAAGATCCCAAATCAGCACACCGCAGACATTGTTACACATCCATGCTCGTAATAAGGAGGAAATGAAACCAGCCTAGTTGTGAGAAAAGTGAATAAAGAAAATGTGATGTAAGTACATATATAATGAGATTTTATTCTGTCATAAAGGAAACTAAAATTATGGTATTTACTGGAAAATAAAACTGAAAATCATTATGCTAAGCAAAATAAGCCAGACTCAAAAAAATAAATGCTGCATGTTTTCTCTCATACGTGGAACCTAGATTTTTAAATTTCTGAATTTCTTTCCATTCAGTTCATTAGCTTATCATTTTTTTATTTGTTAATATTTTATTGATTCAAGAATTTCATGGCCACCTGCAGTGGTTGCACACACCCTTAATCCCAGATACTTGGGTGGCAGTGGTAAGTGGGTCTCTGTAAATTTAAGGCCAGCCTGGTCTACATAGTGAGTCTCAGGCCAGCCAGGACACCAGAGCAATACCCTGTCGAAAGGGAATCAAGAGATGAGAGGAAGAAATATTAAGAGAAAGGGAAAGAGAAGTTCATAGGATAGGTGTTATAAAAGAAGCAGAAGGGAACCATTCAGAGAGGGTAAGGGGTACAAGGAGGGCAGTAAGGGGTGGGCAATATTTTAGAGGGATTGGGTCTAGTGTCAGTGCTAAAGCACTTGCTTAGCATGTACAAGGCCTTGTAACACCAAAAAGAAAAAAAAAACATTTTTTCAGAAAATTTATGTGTGTGGGGGGGGGGGG